AAAAGGAGCTACCCAGCTAAAGGATTGTCAAATGCCATTTCTCTCCACCAGATCCCCAGGGATGAGTTAACTAAGACATGCTGTGTAATCTAGAAGCAAGCAAATCCAAGGTGTCAGGAAGTAAACCACCTGGATAAAATACTAGCTTTTAAATTTCCAATTGCCATCACTGGTGCTAGGATTTCTCCCGTGTCCTAATCCAGTTTCCTTTCCTTGAACCAATGGGCATTGATACTGCCTCTGCAGCAATTTCAAAACCATCACTGAGAAATCAGCCCTGCTCACTCACTCCTGCCCTGTGGGCACTGCTGGCCAAAACCTGGGAAAGATTATCTCAGTCTCCAGTACACTCCTGGGGGTGGTGCTGGGCCCAGCACTGCCCTAACAACTACCATACAACATTTTTTCAGTATGCATCACACACAGTGCAGGAGCAAGCAGACCGGGCTCACTTCTCAGCAGTAGTTATAAGAGCACCTAGAAGGCTGTGTAGAAATGCCCCAGGTCTCTCACAGGTACTAAGATTGTACATCCCTACTAACAACTCATGACAATTTGAGTAAAAAAGCTGGAAGCTAGGAAGCATTATGCTCTTGCCTTTCTTAGCAACCTATCTAATAAGCTTTCTTTATTAACTGCTTATCCACCACAACACTTCTATGGACCCAAGGTTTGTTTGTTCGTTTGTTATCAGAAGCCCAGACACCCAGGATATAACTGCCCAATCCACACCAGTCCAAAAACAGTAACTCAGTCCTGTTTATCAGACCCACAGATTAGCTAAAAAGTATGGTTTGTTGTTCCTAGCCTTGCCACAGCTGCTCACTGGTGGAAAAAATAATCTTGCCTCAGCTGGCATGTGAGTGAAGTAATTGAGATGGACTCTGTTACATGCACCACTCATGAATACTGAGGGATTTTTAAAATGCTGCCAGTCGTGACTATTTTTAACTGACATGTTAGCAATGCTTGTAATGATATTACTTGTCCCTGCACTGACCACAATGCCTGGTGTATTGTATGCAAATCAAAACTTATAACAAGAGGAAGATCAAATGTAGCTCTGATCAGTTCAATCCACTGTCTCTAGCTTTTTAAGGTCTGTTTAGATTCTGAGAATTTTCCTCCATTTCCCACTCATGTTACACACATCCCTCCCTTTCCATTTACAATATATCCTCTTGCATAGACTTACAGCAGGGTACGACTGCTCTGCCTGGACTGCTTATCCCACACAAGGAAGGTAATCTCTTTCTACAATAGCAGAGAGCTCATGGCATTCATAGTTGCTAATACTATGGTCAATAAAAGATCAGGAGCTGAAACCAGGTTTCCTCTACAGCAATACAAAATACTGCTATGAGTTTATTTGCTGGAATATAGCAAACTCCAAAAATACTAACCAAGTAGATTTATTCCAATTCAAGCACAAACTGCATATTCATTGCTGTCTTACACTCCTCCAGAACGTTTTCCTGCCATTGCTTAAAAGACAATTGTGGGAATCAGAAGGTTCAGCAGAGAGAGGACACTTAGGTTGGAGATTAGGAGGAACTCTCTGACTATGGGGGTGGTCAAGCATTGAAACAGGCTAGCTGGAAAAATCTTGGAAACTCCGTTCCTAGAAATTTTCAAAAGCAGACACTTGGCTGGAATGGTCTGGTCAGGGATGACCCTGCCTTGAGCAGAGGCCTGGACTAGATGATCTTTGAGGTCCCTTCCAGCCCTAGCTATGATCCTAAGATCAGTTGGATCATATACTTTATTAAAGCATGACAGCTCCTGGGCTACTTATGCAATACATGAAGGCTCAATAGAGTAGATGGAGCAATGCTGCGAAGGCTCTGGGTGATGTTATATCAGGCAGAACACAGGCAGGGTAACACGTTAGGTAAAGAGGCTTGGTCAAGACCAGACAGAGCAACTCCAAGCTATAGGTCATGTGAAAATTGGAGAGAGGTGTATATAAGCTTTGAGTACATGGATACAAGCCAATATAAAATTCAGGAAGAGTCTCCTTTTTCAAAGTCTAAAGGAAAAACTACAATATCAAGGAGCTGAGGATTCATCAGTCTTCAAGCATTGAGAATAATCGGATCTGAATCCAAATGTCAAGACTACGCTTTAGAGGTTCTTTAGATCAAGTGTGCATCTGGGATCCAGCCTGGTATTTCTAGACTCCATACTGCAGAAGTTCAGTGTGACTTCTGTAGTGATGTGCTCTCCCTCTCTTGGACAGATCCAGGATTTAGCAAAGGGGTTGTGGGAGCAGCAATTTGTGCTGAAGGGGTGGCTGCACCCTCAACACCGAGCCTTTCACCTCTCAGTGCTCTTTATTTAAAGTCCCCAAAGCAAGTAAGAACACCCTCCCCCTTCTCTTCCATGCTCCAAGACACATGCCATCCCCTCCTCTCCCCCTCCTTCTCCTCCCTGCCTGCCACTGCTGATTTCCCCTCTGTTCCTGTGGTGAGGGAAACTTCAGAGCCACTGCTGCCCACTCCAGCTGGCTGCATGGAGCTCAGCAGAGACAACAGTTGCAGTGGCTATGGGTTGAAGGGTTCCCCTCCCTACACCTGCTCCTGGGGACAGGGTGAAGGACTCCATCCCCACCCATTGCCACTGCTATCCCAGCTGAGGCCAGCCCCCATGCAGCCCAGCTGGAGCAGGCAATAGGGGAGTGAAGGGGAGGGAAGAGGAGGGGAGGGAATGTGCCTTTAAGCACAGAGGAGAAGGATGAGAGGGATTGTCATCTGCTTTGGGGGCTTTTTTAAAGTCTCCAAAAGCTCCCACAGGGTAGTCCAGTCTGAAAAGTGGGGGTGCAGCCATGCCACTGCACCCCTTCTGGATCCATCCCTGCATACACCAGTGCAATGGAGAAATAAGAAGGTAAAAGGAAAGTAAAGCGGTAAAAGTTAACAAAATGTGGAGAAGCTGGATAACTGATATAATGGAAACAGCTGTGACACACACCTTGTACAGAAATGCTGAAACCACTTCCTACCATTACTCAGGTCATTGACAGATGTGCAGCTCCCTGGTCTCACTCATGACACTTCACAGAAAGCGCCATGAGTTAGACTGACCCTCCCAACCCAACAGACATTCACTGTTGGGTCAGGAGTGTGGGGGATCGAACTCTAATTTGGAACCAATCTAGCTAGGAGCTGAATATTTGCATTTTCTCTCCCCCAGCTCTGCCTCTACCCCACACTACCCCAGCTCCTGCACTGTATGCAAGATGGGAGCCAGGGGGGTGGGTGTCAGGGGGCACAGGAGGGAGCTTGGGCTGGGGTTTGCTCAGCCTTCGCTAGAGGCGGGGCAATGAATTGGAGCCTCCCACCTCATGGCAGGGCTCCAATCCATCCACCCCCACTCCAGCACAGGCTGGGCAAACCCCAGCCTGAGCTTCCTCCCCTCCTTTCTCCCCCACTCCCATCATACAAACAGCACTGGGGGCAAAGCTGGGCTGTATCAACCCAGTTGCCCAATCAGACGCAAGTTAATGAAGGTTGCTCTGCTTTGGAGTGCCTTCATTTGAGCCCATATATAATGAGGGTTAATTTGTCACGTGATTGGGACTTTTAAAGCACTCTGCAGCCATGCACTTCTATTAGGGCATGGCTATAAAGCATTTTCAAGAGGCTGATCATATGACAAATGTAACTTCTGTCTGTGCCCCCACATAATCTCTCATTCTCCCAAGATTGACCCTGCTTACTCTGGAAACTGCAACAGAATTGTATCACAAATCCCAGATCCCTCCACTTCTATCTTGTTTCCTGGCTTCATTTGCTGTCCCATTTCTTTAGACCATTTGCTCTTAGAGTATTTTCTCCAGCAGAGATGTTTAGTTATCAGTTCAGAGAACAGGGTGAGGTGGGGCAGCTAGGGCACTGATATTAAAAAGTTTCAGTTTATACAAAACCTATCCATTAAGAGGTATAGTCTTTTCCCTGAGCCACAGGAGTCAGGAGTCCTGTATTCTGTTCTTGTGTTTGCCAGACTTTTCCCATGACCTTGAGTAAATTACAAAGGGCTTGATCCTGTCTGCAATACAAAATTCCCATTGACATTAGTGAAGGCACAGACCTTTGTGATCCCTTTAAGAAGTCCAAGAGGGTTTTGCCGTTAACTTGCATGGCAGCGGGACTGGATTCTCTCCGTTTCCTATGACATAAGATAGGGATAAGAATCCTTCCCTCACAGAGGTGGAGTAAAGTTTTGAATTCATTAATATTTGCCAAGTGCTTAGAGATCTCTGAAGATACTGCTGAATTGTAAACAGGATAGTCTTATCAGTGAATGATAACCACATCCCATCTAATGGCTGTCTTTTGTACAACAGAAACTGTACTAAGTGTTGGGGGGGGGGGGAATCAGTCTCTCACATTAAGACACTTAATGCATATTTTTTCCACCAGTCCTAGAAGCACTACAAGTGATTTAACATTTGCTCCCCAGGGAAAAACAGGAGTTACAGGGCTGACTCATATTATGAGAAAACTTTTCCTCAAAGACTAAACTTGCATGTTCCCCTGCCAGGCTGCTGTCTGGAATTAAAAAAGGAGTTTAATCACAGAGGTGCTGACACAAGACTGCACTGTGAACATTTGACCTCAGCTACCACCTTGTGATTACATACATATGTATATATGTAACTAGTCAAAGCTCAAAGTCGCTGTATCCAGAAGTCCATATGACCCTAACAGTATCAAGTAACCATTATCACCTGACCCCTCTGGAGTTATAAATATAACAACAATAGAGCCCTAACTGGATTATAATTGGACAATGATAACAGGACAATGGAAATAACAAACTATAAAAGACCATCCATCCTCACTACTAGATCTTATACTAAAATCAGATGCAGAGCATTGCCATGGATGAGCTGCCAGGACCCATTGTAGAGAAGCTACAGATCTTTCCCAAGCCGGAATCAGAGCACCCACTAACAGCCCATGCACCAGTGGACAAGTACTATGCAGCACTGGTCACAGGAGACCTGAGAAATCTCCAGGTCCTGATTGATAAATACTATGAAGATGTGAATGTGGTTTTTGAGATCAATAAAGATGAGCTGGAATGGCAAGTGAAAAGCCAGGCCTCTTTTGGACTGTCAGGTACTCTTGCTTGCAAGGACCAGTTTGAAATATAATCAGGCACTTACTAACCCAAAGTGAGAGAGATGTAATGCATTTGTTCTAAATGCATTATGCTGTGCTTAATAACCTGCTAGAAGTTACAGAGATGGCTAATTTCTGTTTAGATTAATATACTGTCTGTCCTGTGAATTCTACCTTTGTGATGAATGTTTGAAGTGCTTCACTGTTAGCAAGTGTTCCAAGCAAAAAAAAAAAAAAAGAAGGGGGGGGGTGGTGGATTTGTGTGCTTATGCAAATGTTCACTGCCAGAACCAGAGTAAAACAAACAAACAAACAAACATCTAGGGGGTTCAAGAGCCTAAATCATTCTCGAAAACAGCACATGGGAGCCTAAAGCACTTGGGCACATTAGAAGTTTATAGTGCTTACTCTCAAACAGTCCCATTTGGCTAGATGGTGCTGTTTTGCATGGCAGAGAGAGATAAAAGGATGCAGAACTGCACTGTGGAAGGTGGCACCCTGCAAACACTGCATCTTGGAAAAGGGGAAGGTTTCCTGGGGCTCTGCAGTGCATAGGGAAAAGGAAGTCTGTGATCTGTTGTACCCGACTGGAAGTAGAGCATTTCACACCTGTGTTGGTTTTGCCTATTCTTAGCCAGAGCCCACCTTAGGGAAAATGGTGCCCTGGGCAAATTCCTATTTTGGCACCCCTCCTCCCCTCCCAAGTCAGTGGCGCTGCTGCAGGCAGACATAGGCATAAGGGGCATGGGGCACAGTCCTGTGGGGAGGTGGAGTGGCATGGTGTGCTGGGCAGGCAGGCAGGCATTGCTGCTGCCACCCATGCTGCCCTGCCCTGCCCAGCTCCTCCTGAACAGCGGCTAGAGGTGGGAGCAGGCCAGGCTGGGCACCATTCCTCCTGCCTAGTGTGAAGATCAGCCAGGGCAGGCTGGGGCAGAGCGCTGCTGTGAGCGTGGGCTACTTATACTTGTGTGTCCGCATAGGCTGCTCATACATGTGTATGTGTGCATGGCACCCCCTGACCACAGCACCCTGGGTGGTTGCCAATGTTGCCTACCCCTAAGGCTGGCCCTGCTCTTGGCCCATGGAATTACATGGTAATTCAGAACTGCACGATATGCTCTTGGTACTGCAAACATGCTCCCTCACAGCCCGCTTTGAAAGCTGAAGCACTAAGGAGGGGCTATGAAAGGTAGGGAGTGCTCTCTATACCCTATTTCCCTCCTACTGTGCCCCTAGTTTAGCCTATGAAGGACAATGGACCATGCCCGGTACTGAAGCAGATTAAAAAAAAAAAACAACAACAACAACTTTGACCTAATTATTTCATGGTCAGAAAAGGGAGTTTCATTGAAATCAGTTTTCCCCTGGTGAAAGACATAGGGCTGAAATTTTCCACCAGGGGAAAGGGGGAGGAAGGGAGGGAAGGAAATCAAACTAAATATTTTGTTTCAGGTCAATGCGTGACTTTACTTCTGCCTGATCGGCCACAATGCCTCATGGGAAATGGTGTTCTGTACACTTTGTGGCCCTGTTCTCCCCCATGGACCAAGCTCGCTGGCTGTACGAAACCTTCCATAACAATGCACTACCGGCGGCACTAAACCCCTCTCATTTTTGTTGGTTTATCTGAAAAGCAACAATGCATTGCCAAAAACAGCAATCAAGATGCTCATAGCAGCTTTAAACTGTGCTTTGACCACAATGACAAGATGCTGAAAGCCATCTTGAGCCAAAGTTAGAGGGAACAAAACAAGGCAGCAAGGGAGAATGCATACCTAACCCAAAATTATAGAAAGTCCCCATGTAACTTTGCTAGTTATACTTCTTAAACTCTTTTTATGGAATAGTATGATATGCTTTACAAAGAACTCTAAATAAATAAAATAAAACCAAATCCTGCATTCTCTACTAAACCCTTATTCAGGCAAAACTCCTGGTGAAGTTTATGGGGATTTTGCCTTCATGAAAACTGGAATCCTACTTCAGCAAGGCACTTAAACAGTAATTAGTTGCTGTATAGCACTTCTTAATTGGTCAGTCTCAAAACAGATAGATAGGCACTATTATTTCCCCCCTCCCATTTTACAGATTGGACAACTGAGGCACAAAGAAAGAAAGGGGATTGAACAAGTTCATCCAGGAAGCCAGTGAAAAAATCCAGCAAAGAATGAGTGGTTTCAGCTTAGCAAAAGAATTTAGATGGTCAGGAGAGTGCCACCAGGCCATACCCTGGGGGCCTAGGTGCAGGGAAATATTTGCCTAACTTTAAGCAAGTGAAGTTGAACCCAGTAGACCTATTCACTCGCTAGAATTTAGGCACATGCTTCAACAGAGCTTAATAAAACAGGGTAGGATTTTCTAAGAATTTAAGTGAAAATGCTTCCATAAAGCCAATGTAAAAATAGGAATAAATCCTTGTAGGTTAATAAATGAACATTTAACTACACTTATTATTACATTGTCTCTAACAAGAATTCTGAACAAACATTAACCACCCATGGACAGGTGAATAAAAACACCACATGTTAACAATGTGCCACCCCTTAGAGTCACACTTACTCAACCATAATTGAGATCAGGCCCTATCCTACTAACAGCTAACAGAAATGTCCCTTTAGCTCAAGTGGCAGGGGGTATACTTCTGAAGCAGAGAGATTTGAAGTCTCTCTCAGCCGGTGCCATGAAGTTCTAGGTGTCAGGGATTTGTGAGTGGTGTCAGAAATAAGATTTGAACCAAATCCCAGATGTCTGAGGGGTGAAATTTATCTAGTCAGTTCTTTAAACACTTCCTGGAGAAAGTATGTGTCACAGTGAGTCCACACATTCTCCCTACTGTGTGTTTGTCACTGTACTGTATTGAATGGACTCAGTAATGTTCATCTGAGTTTCATAAGCTCTATAGCACTAATAAGTGTTCTCCACGATCCCAAGCCACAGGAAAAGCTGGGACAAAAACCCCCAAATAGAAAGTCAAAAGAAAAAAAAATATATATATAAAGCATCTCTTTCAAAACGTTGTTGTGAATCAATATCATCCGTCCTCCCTATAATGAAGTAGCTTGGTACATATTGGGTCTAAAACTGAAGATAAGGGAAATAAAAACATTTTCAGGATTTAGGCAAGGGGGCTATTCACACAGATAAGGTATTGCTGTGGGACACAGGAGACTGGGGTTCACTTCCTGGCTCTCCAGAAGACTTCTTGTATGCCCTTGAGCAAGTCATTCTCTCTCTGCCCAGGTCCTCAGTACAAAAAGGGATGATGCTTCCCTTAGCACCTCACGGAAGTGCTGTGAAAAGTAAGTGACTACACATTTGGGAGGCACTAGGATACCACCAACATGCAGGGATAGATAAAGGTATTCCTGTTCTGACCCAGACCAATGCTCTGAGTTGCAAAGGGCTTGGCCTACTGTGTGTAATGGTGTCTTGACCTGCAGGGAGTGTGTGTACATAAAGCAAGGGGGTAGAGGGAGGAGGGAAGAGTAGAAGAGAACAGCTGGTACATCTGATCACTATAAAATGGATGCAGCAGAGCCAGCCCACCTGAATGGAATATGAACAGCTCAAGAAGGGAATTTTCAGTGGGACCAATACTGTCATTGCCAGGGCAACTGTCACGACCAGTCCAAAAGAACATCAAATCCGTACTTTGGCTCAGGCACCGTCCATGCCCAACCATTGCAGACATTTTCCCAGTAAGCTACACTTTCAGGGGCAAGTCGAGGCTCCCAACAGGTTACAAATCTGTATTAGATGCAGGTAGGTAATTAATGAGCAGCCTTTTAAAACATCGCAGCATGGGGCTCAGGGGAAGAAGTTAAGTCTGTGAATAAGATACCCTTTGCGGCTCATTACAGGCACAATATCGATTCTTCCATCATTATAAGAAGGTATTCCTGCCATATGAAATCCTGTCCATTGATGTGTATTCACTGGGGAATTTTTATTCCCCTACAGCCACCATTGCAGAGTGGCTAACAGCCTTAAACAGGCCTTTTGAAACCCCCAAAGTTTTCAGAGAGATAAAAACATGCAGTGTACTGTTCTGATTTATTCAGGGAGAGAGCAATGGCTACACACACCACTAAAAAGCAGAATGAAATAAATCAGACTTGTGTGGAATAAGAAGCCAGTAATTCTGTTCAAGAGCAAAGTGCATTAAACAGCTGCTAAAACCCTAGCATTTTCTGCCAGTTGAAACTTTCCCAAAACACCCTCTGCATGTACTGTGTGCCAGGCTGTTGCAGATATCAAGCCTGTTTGCTCTGCATTTGAACCACTGAAGCTCCCACTGCTGAAAGATTTAACACTTACTAGATGCCATGTACAGGGCCAGGTACAAACATTACACTTTTATCAGTATAAGTGATTGGAAACTCATCTATATCCATAAAAGAACAGAAGTTTGGCACACATAGACATAGACAGTCCAAGATTAGCATTCCCCGCCCCCACCCCCACCCCTACCAAAGGGCACGTGTATTCTGTTCACAGGCGAGAAAGACTTTTTGGCATTTCCATCTACTATGGAACTCAGTTCTTTATCTGTTGGTTTCCACTAGGACATGTATGAACAGGGCTACGTAAACACTAATGGAGTCAGTCTTATGTCGGTGATAAAGGAAGTACTGATTTTGAAGAGGGCAGGGGGGTTGGGTCACTTAAAATTAAAAGTTTACCCCTGGTCCCACATAACTCATTTCTCAGGAGTCCCAGTCCTGTGGCTTAACCTCCTTTCTTCTCTTCTGTCCTATAGGCTTGTGGTCCCTAGAGTACAAAAGGGAGTTGACCACCCCACTGTGTATTGCTGCAAGCCATGGGCACACAACCTGCCTACGTCACCTGCTCTTTTGGAGGGCAGACCCCAACTTGGCTCCAGGAAGCCTAAGTGCTCTGCATGAGGCCTGTGCAGGGGGCCACACAGACTGCGTAGAGCTGCTACTGGAGCACAAAGCCAACCCCAACCTCCTGAGTGATGAAGGCTTGGCACCACTTCACCTGTGCACCAAACAGAACACACTGGGGTAAGACAGCCCACCTCAGGCAACCTGTACACCTAACCCCCTTCTTCTCCCTCATATTAACATCACATCCCTTTTAATTGCAGTTTAGATTTAATGGTCTCCGTCCTAGCTTCCTTTCCACCTTCTAATGTGCCAGCCCATGGACAGGGATAATCCTGCCTCAGGCAAGGGGTTGGACTATTGAAGTCCTATAAAAGTCCCTTCAAGCCCTACTTCTCTATGATTCTATGATCAGTTCTTCCAGATGAGGGCTTGATCCACATTGTATTAAATCCCATAAAAAGACTTCCATTGCATTTTGGATTAGGCCCTGTATAGTAGGCCTGTGCAAAGTGGCTAGTATTCGCTTTGGATTCAGCTGATTCAGGGGACAGTGTTTGGAATCACTGTCCCAAATTGATTTGGCCGCTGCCAAATTGGCCAAATTGGACAGGCATCATTCCCTGCCCACTCTAATCCACATTGTATTAAATCCCATAAAAAGACTTCCATTGCATTTTGGATTAGGCCCTGTATAGTAGGCCTGTGCAAAGTGGCTAGTATTCGCTTTGGATTCAGCTGATTCAGGGGACAGTGTTTGGAATCACTGTCCCAAATTGATTTGGCCGCTGCCAAATTGGCCAAATTGGACAGGCATCATTCCCTGCCCACTCTACCAGCCCCGTCAATGGCTGTCCCACCTGGCCCCAGCCTCCCCGCTCTTTAAAAAAAAAAAAAAAAAGCCCCCCCCACCGAGGGCATACTGCAGGGTGGGGGAGGCTCTGCACCGAGCCTCCCAGTCCCACCTGCTCTCCCCCACCCCACTATGGCTGCCCCATCCGGCCCCAGTTCCCGGATCTTTAAAAAAAATAAAATAAAAAAAGACCTGCACTCACCAGTTGCTGCCAAGTGGGGGGCGATCCCTGTTGCCCCCCACTGCATGGGGGCTCTGACATGAGCCCCCAGAAGCCCCAACAGCTGCTGCAGCAGCTGGTGAGTGGGGGCTTTTTTTTCTTTAGAGCCAGGAGCTGGGGCCGGGTGGGGCAGCCATGGGGTGGGGCTGCGAAAGCAGGCAGGGGATGGGGCCTGGCAGGGGTCCCCCCTGCTCCGGCCCCCCCCTTCCCCATCCCCTACTTACCAACACGGAATCCAGGTCCAGCTCCTTGCAGTCGCAAGCAGGGACTGCCCAAATCTCCAAAGCTCTCTGAATCTTTTCCGAATTGACTGGGAGAGCTTTGAATCAATTCAGACCTTCTTATTGGTCTCCTGATTCAATTCAGATTCAGAGATTCAGCCACCGAATCAGGCCGAATCTCCTCCGAATGGAATCAGCACCTGAAGCTTTGCGCAGCCCTCCTGTATAGCATCTTGGAGCTCTTTCACCACTACCCGGCCCCATAATAATAGTAAATTTATGGATGTCAGAAGAACTTGCATCCAAATGGTATCTTTTTATTCAGCAGATGTACCCCTTTTTTGTACACAGTGTCATCCTCTTACTTTGTTAGCAACTGGAACATGTATTCACTGTTTTTAGCCCTATAGAACCAAGAGGAGATGGACCTAGACTAGAGCCTAGTCTGGCTGATTTCTAGTTGTAAAACCTCCAAGGTAAATGCACCAATGCATACACCAAAATAGTAACTTAACTGCTATCATACCCCTTCCCTTAGGGACAGGAACTAATGCACCAGCAATGGCTAGATTTTTCAGGTTGCCCTTAGACTAGCAAAGTTGATTTGGATGGAGCACATGTAAGCAAAGCCTGGAAATGTTTGCATCCTCCCATAAAATGAGTCTGATTTTTCTTGTCTTGGATAAAGGAAAATTGCAAAGCTGTCTCCATGAGAGAGCATAGTGCAAGTGTGGGGTTCTCTCTGTTGTGTCAGCTTTGCTACAGAATGTTAGTCATCTTATCAGTTTTGAAAACATTCAAGTGCCAAGTATGTTAAATGGTCTTAATAGCTATAAGTTGCATATACCAGTCACTGAATAAAAAACACACATGGGACCCCCACTGCCAAGTATTATGGCTTTCACTGGTTTGATATATGGATGTGCAAAACAAAGAAGTTAAATGTCAAGGGAATAAGAACTGAGAGTAGCAAGTGTAACCCAGGTGGTACTCAGGTGTATACCCCCTTTTCAAATGAAAGCATGTTAACTGGGTACAAATGCACTGTTGGAGGAGTAGATGCTCTGCTGCATGCAGCTTTCCTCCCCCTCCCTATAGAGAAAAACCAGAACACTTGTTGAGATTTAACTATATACAGATTTAATAGAAATTATATAAACTACAGCTATAGATATTTACAGAGCTAATGAAAATGCTCTATATACAGGCGAGGGGTCAGAAAGACAAAGCAGGGGGGGTTCATAAAACAATATGCAGTCTTATGCTCTAATAGGGTGTGAAGTTACAAAGCAATGAGGTGCAGAGCTCAGAGAGGTGCAGGGTTTACCTAAAACCAAGGTTAACACTCTGCCCAAGCACAACTGTGGACACCCAAAAGAAACTACCCCGGGGATAAGAAAAGGCAAAAGAAAGAAAAGAATGGTACCCTAAGGTCCAAAGGGGGTATCATAACTCTGGCCCTGACCTGTGAGCCCTTTCCTTTGGGTTGTCTCCCCGGCTGGGGACACCAAGAGTGGGGTAGGCCTCCCTCCCCTGTGGGAACCCCATTCCCCAGATTACTCACAACTCCAGACACTGACAACGCAGCACCCGTCTCCTGTGAGAGTCATCTCCTCCTCCGGTGGAGGATCTCAATTATCTAGCCTCCTTTTGAAGACCCCCAGGGTAGGAGCAAGCACCACTTCCCTTGGAAGTTGGTTCCAGATCCCAGCCGTCCTGACTGCAACGTAGTGGTTCCTGATGTCCAGCCTGAACCTACTCTCAGTCAACTTATGGCAGTTATTCCTAGTTACTCCTGGTAGTGCTCAGGTGAACAGGGTCTCTCCCATTCCCGGCTGGTCCCCCTTGGTAAGTTTATAGACAGCCACCAGATCCCCTCTCAGACTTCTCTTGTGGAGGCTGAACAGGTTCAGGTCCCGTAGCCTCCACTCATAGGGCCTGCCCTGCTGCCTCCTGATCATGCGAGTAGCCCTCCTTTGGACCCTCTCAATGCTGTCCACATCCCTCTTTAAGTGCAGTACTCCAACTGCGGCCTGACCAATGTCGCATAGATGGGGAGGATCACCTCTGTGGACCTGCTCGTGATGCATCTGTGGATGCATGACACGGTGCGTTTGACCCTACTGACCGCATCCTCACATTGGCGGCCCATGTTCATCTTGGAATCAATAATGACTCCAAGATCCTTTTCTGTGCTGACAAGAAGGGAGTTCCCCAGCCTGTAGGTATGCTGCTGGTTCATCCTCTCCAGGTGCAGTACCTTGCACTTGTCAGTATTGAAACCCATCCTGTTCTCATCCGCCCACCCTTGTAACCTGTCCAGATCTAGTTGTAGCCTGTCCCTCCCTTCTAACATGCCCACTTCTCCCCACATCTTAGTGTCATCCGCAAACCTGAACAAGGTGCTTTTCACCCCCTTATCCAAGTCACTGATGAAGATGTTGAACAATGCGGGCCCAAGGACCCCACTGCCCACATCCCTCCAGGTCAAAAACGACCCATCCACCACCACTCTCTGGGTGCAGCCCTCCAGCCACTTAGTGATCCATTTGACTGTGTAAGTGTTGACGCCACAGTCCCCTAGTTTTGGTCTGACAGGACCTGCCTCTAATGAACCCATGCTGGTTCACCTAAGCATAATCTCCCCTGCTGGTCCCTCGCAGATGTGTTTTTGGATAATTTTCTCAAAGAGCTTCCCCAGGACCAAGGTAAGACTAACAGGCCTATAGTTTCCTGGGTCCTCCCTTTTTTGAAAATGGAGACCACACTGGCCCTTTTCCAATCCTCTGGCACCTTGCCAGAGCACCACCAGTGCTTGTAGAGCTGTGCCAGGGATCCTGCAATGGCCTCTGCCAATTCCCTCAGCACCCTGGGGTGGAGATCATCTGGACCTGCTGATTTGAAGACCTCCAGTCCCACCAGAAGTTCCCTGACCAGGTCCTCTCTGACCCTGGGCCCGGCTGTGCCTCTCCTGAGTTTGTCCAGGATTCTGGTGCGGGGGATGTCCCAGTCCCTGCTCAGAAATATGGAGGCAAAGAATTTGTTAAAGAGGTCAGCTTTATCATCTGGTGCAACCACCAGATTGGCAAGCGTGTCCTGCAGGGGCCCCACGTTACCCAGTACTTTCTTTTTACTCCCTATGTATTTAAAAAAGGACTTCTTGTTGTCTTTGATCTGGGTCACTAGTACCAGTTCCGTGTCCGCCTTAGCCTTCCTAACAGCACCCCCGTGGCCCTCCATGTACCGGGTGCCCTGCTTTGTGCAGGGGTTGGAGGCCCAAGCTGCTGCCTGCAGCTCCTGTGCCTTGGTCTGCTCCCAGACCCCCTGTGCACTGATTGTGGACCGACGCCACACTCACGCATGGTGGGGCTGGGGTACAGGGCTGCTTGCCACTCTCTGTTCAACGAGTCATCTTCTGGGCTCTTCTGGGGCAACCGCTCCACCCTGCTGGCCAGCTCTGCCAGCTTTTCTTTTGCCCTCTTCTTCATCCCTCAACACAGCCACCATGTGCTGGGTACACTGCCTTTTTTATTCCCTCCAGAGGCTTATGGAACAACTGGGGGGGAGGTATTTTCACTTTAAAAAAAGAACAAAAAACACCTTTCCTTGATCTCAGTTCTCCCTCTCCCTTATTCCTGACTTGCTTGCTCTAATTATTCCACTAACAACAGTGCAGCTGAACTGGTAGCAAACTGGTAACAACAGAGGGGAAATTAGGCACATGGGTGTAACTGGTAATAACAGGGGAAATTAGGCACATTAGGCCTGCAGACGTGCAGGGATGCTGCTCTAATGCGCTGTAATTAGCGCTTCTCACGTATTCAGTGTCCCTGTGCTTCAAAATGGTGGCAGGGGCATTTTAACTAAAGCTTGTTCAATGAGCCTT